AGGGGCGGGCGTTGGTTTATGTAGGAGTTGGAATATTTGTTGAAGGAGCTCACCATGCCTGGTGAGTTGGTCCTGAACTTCATTAGCTTTGCTGGATATTGTAGTGACAACTTTAGTGTTGGCTTGAACTTTAGTCTTCATGACATTCGGTATCTTTCACTTCACACACCTTAGTTTTGATAATATAGAGGTCGTGAGTCAGGTCTTCCTTAAAGGGCTTTCCCTGGCGCACTTCGTTCATTTTATTGAGGACAGTGGCAACAGCAAGCAGCAAGAACTTGGCGTCCTCAACAATGTCATAGGCTTCAGCCTCGATGACTGGGGGTTCGTTCTCTATAGGACATGTAAAGGCAAGAGATCATTAAGCATAAGATAGCTCAAAATTAGTAAAAAAAAGAAAAATAAGTTGAGGATTGTACCTGAGGGTTCAACAACATTATCTGAAGGGACTAACGTTGGGCATCTCACATGCGCTGTCTTGAGAATCAACAACAAGTATCTGAGGTGCTTCAAGAAGAGAAATCTCAGGTCTTGTGGTGATGGCTTCACCAATAGTAGGGAAAACCACCATGGGATCATTAACACGTATGGTATAGACCAAAGAAAGAGGGGAAGAGGGAATGGCCCAAAAATTAAGTGATGGATCAGCAATGGCAATGCTGGTATTCACACATTCAGTAATTTGGGTCACTGAAGTGGTTGGGGTATGATCCACTTTTACGACAACATCTGAAGAGCTTGGGAGGGTTGTAGTAGTTGCCTCCGGGGTAACGATTTTTTCAATAATTGAGACCTTCTTAGAGGTCTCAGCTAGTTTGCATTGCATCCTCTTTTTGGATTTCTGAGCCTTCTTTGAGACTAAGAGGGGATTAAGATGGTGTCCTCTTTTTAGAGGATAATAAGGTAGTGGTCGGGATAGACAGAAGGGGTTTTGCCACAGTATTAGCTACTTGAGAAGAAGAAGAAGTAGAAAGAGGAGCAGGCACTGGCGATTCATTGCATCAGAACGAAGACGCCAATGTCTGAGGGCTTGGTCTTATGATCAAGGATTCTTGATCCAAGCCTGCAGATAGGGAGATCACCTTAGTGGGGTACCTGGTAGAGAGGATCCTGGCGAGAATCCAATCGAGGAATCTGGTATAAGGGACCACATTTTCACGCTGATGATTGTTCAGCTTCAGCACCAGATCATTGAATATCGTCTTGGCAAAGTTGACGTTGATTTCTTTGATTACCGAACATCCAATGTTCAGCGCCACCCTTGAAGATTAGTTTTTTCCTCCAGTCTTTTTGCCCATGCACTTAATAAAGTGTGAGAAGAGATATTTCCATACAGTAGTCATTCTGTTCTTCTCGATCTTCTTCAACGACTTGTTCAATTCAGTGTTGGAGTCCTTCTTCAGAGGCCAGTTGTAGCTGCTATCATCTAGAATCTTGACGATATGCTCAGTGGTGGGGTCTCTGGTCTAGGGAACAAACTTTGGTAGGCGAAGAGCAGTCTGCACAGTTGAGAAGCCAAAACTTACTTGCAGTTGGTTGATTTCACAGACTATCTGGTCAATAAAGTTTCCGATCTTATCTTGCACCGTCTTTACCTTAGCGGTGTACCAAAACTACTTCCATAGGTCTTTCACTATTACCGGTTCGAAGGTTAGAGAATATCCGAGCACAGAGTTCTTTAGGAACTTGGCAGTATCCACAAATTGTTGCTTGTTTGCAGGTATGTGAACAAGATACACATGATTGTTTCGCTTAAATGTGCAGTCTTCGAAGGGAAAGTTGACACATTTTGCAGCAGCCATTTATGTAAAGAAGATGAATAGAAATAGAAGAATAGTGCACAGATTAACGTTAGTAAACACTTTAGGACAACGTCTGAAAGAAAATCTTTCTTTTGAAAACCAGAAGAAGAAGAAGGTTTTCAAACATATTAGGGTTTTAGAAACTAGGTTAAAATCAAGAAGAAGAATGATTTGAAACTTGTTTATTTGTATTTAAAAGAAATAAAAACATTTTTAAATAACAAACAACGTTTCTTAGAAGAATAACAACCAAAAACTTACATAAACAAACATGTTTCTTGAAAGAAAGAAGGAAACTGGTTCACACAAAGTTCTTGAGAGAGAATTCTTGTGTAAGCGTAAAGAGAAATATGAGAGAGTAAGGCTTATATTTATAGGTGAGATGAGAGAAAAATAAGAGAGAGGAAAATGATGCTTCAAAAAGATGTGCAATGATGACTTTCTTTGCATGTCATCATATTGTCATTGGATAGAAAAGAAAATGAACCGCTAGTGTCAGAAGGACACGTGTGAAACCATAAATTTTTTAATGACATCA